TCTTTCAGTCCCTTGACCTCTGGGGTCAGGATTGAAAGTCAAGGTTTTCAGCTTGTGAGTGGGGTCTATATACAACACAGAACTCATCATACCAGTTCTCTCAGAACCAAGCACAAGAAGCTCCAAACTTCATGTCAAAGCCAGACAGCCTTATTTTAAGCTCCTGCGGATTGCGACTCACAACCACAGGGCCTGTCTTTGCATGTAAGTGAAACGATCTGGCCACGAATGTTGCTTCCCAATCAAAGGCTGACATGACAAGGCTTTCAGACGCACAAGGACAATGAGGCTCAAGTCGGCAATAAAGCCATGGCATGACTTAAGTTGAGATAGTAAGTGCAGCCCACATAGCACAGCGCTGTGCTTCAAGCAAGCTCTTGCGCTGCCAAATGCGCGCACAATCTCACAGTTTACTCCGCCTTCTCCGGCACCTGGCTCAATGCATTCCCAGGCTGAGGGAGACTTTGCTTTGGGGCCTCGTGCTGGGGATTTGGGGTTTGAAGCACGAATCCTCACAAAGTGATCACCTGGCTCAAAATAATGCAGTGGTGACTGTGCGGAATTCAACGACTGTCCACCCGGTTCAGACTTCTGATGCCTCAAAGCTTGCTTTGTTGGCAACCTATCCTTCACATGCCGCAATCGAAGCATCCACAAGAAAAAAGCTGCAGTCCAGGGCAAGCTAGCATGAAGGTTGTTTAGAGGTTCATGCTGCAGGCTGTTCTATGACGGAATGGCTCTGCAGACTTTCAGAGTGCAATGCGCGCTGTTGCTAAGGAAAATCATGTACCACTCAACCAGCACTGCTGCGGTTTCTGATTTAGGTGAGGCCTGGTTCGGCACAGTGTAGGGGACACCTGCGATCCAAAAAACTTTCCTGGTGGTGCACCCTGAACCTGCAAATCCAAGCCCCATGCCTAAGCCCCGCTTCGCTCTACATCCACGCTTGCAACCTTTTCTGACCCTAGCGTTGATACCTGCATTCCCTTACAATACTATAATACCATAACTCCCGAGGTACAACGCACTTAGGGTCATACAGGATGTTTAAAATCCACCGTAATACTTAATCTCAAGACACCGTCAGAACACTGCCCCTAGGCTGCCCAGTGCTCTTCTGGCGCTTTGTGAGATAAGTGTCTCCCAAAAGAAAGAGATACCCTTGGCTTACTGGTTCCTAGTGGTGAATAAGGGAATCTAATCCTTATGTAATATATTCCCTTATGCCCTACTAGGAACCAGTAAGTTCATTGTCTCAGATATACACAAGCATAAGGGTATCGGGACAGCGAGTGCAGGACCGCTATCTGAGAAACACTCCTAAAGAATTTCCAAGGAGCCATATTCTCGACTAGATTGCTTGGAACATTGAAAGTACATAGACCTGAGAATATTTCTGGGAAGCTCTCACATGGACTTTTTTGATTCAGTTCTCATAAAAAAAAAAAAAAAGCATACATCATATCCAGCCACTGTAGACTCTTGAAAAAATGAGGTACCCATAAATGTTGAGAAGCCCCAAAAACCAGGAAATTCCACCTACCTTTTGATGTTTACGCACCACCACACAATCCAAGAACATAAACCCATGTTTTAGAACACTGTAAGACTCAAGAACCCCCAATGCTGATGTAACCCCGACGTACACCAAACACAAACTCTGACGGAGGACACATATCTGACAGCTTGGGTACCATGGTTGACCCGAGAGATAAAGACTTTACGTACTGGTATTACGTGGAATTCGTACAGGTCACTCTTGAGAATTATATGCAGGTCCTTGTGCGAATCTCCCAGCTCATACTCTCTTCCTTTTGGGCCCTCTCTCCCCACGTGCCAATCGCGGATGGCCTTCATGCCAAGAAATTTCTTGGCGCGGGCCAAGCCCTTGGCCCAGTCATCAGCCTGGCTGGCATGAATGGACAAGTTAGGATTTAACCTCTGCTTTTTTGTAACCCAAATACTATGTGTAGGTGCCGGACGATCACAAAGAGGGGCAGTAGCTTTAACAACCACCTGCCTGGTTCGCCTTTTCTTGCTGCAACCCCGACAACAAATAAAAAGAAAACGTGTTTGACCACTATTCTGGCTGAGCATCACCCATCTACGGAATCCCAAGCACCTAAACCAGACACAATGCAGCTCCCAGCGCACCGGAATCAGCGGCAGCGAAAGCAGGGCCATGGTGGTAGCCATCCTCATCTTATGAACATGCGTAGTAGCGGGCTTCTCTGTGCGCTTCATTCCAAACGCGTTTCAAGAAGAGTGTACATGTCCTTCAGCCTACATTTCCTTCAGCCTTGTACAAAGAAATGCTTCTGTTGCATCCGGTTTGATGCTGGAGCCCAGTTGAAGCTGTTACCTGCAGCACGATTCCGGTGGAAGGCCAAACTACCACAAACATCATGCCGCACTTCTCTATCCATTTGAAAGACGGAGTGGGGTTAAGACTTAGCAGAACTGCAGTATGGTAAAACGGAGTCAGCTCGTATTCAGAGCATTGGCCTCACAGCCCGGGAAAACAGAAGCCAGCCATTATAGCAAACGATGCTACAGATTTCAAAGCAACTAAGCTACGCAGTAGCACCTTGTCTTGTATCTGCAAAACCAACAACGGGAGGGGAAGTTTCAAAATATTCCGGCTTCTGCACATAGCCCACCATGATGTAATGTTACAGTGCTTGGAATTACGCTCCTCGAATTTTGGAAATCCAGTTGACCCGAAATCTCAAAGCCCATCTGAACCATGCAAAGCCCTCCATGAAGGGGCCCTGGCATGCCCCCGCGCTTCGCCAACTTCACCTGAGCTTCTCCAAATTGAGGTCCCTTGCTGGGGGCTACCATACGAAACAAGGGAGTATGTAGGACCTTCTAGACTCCCTAGAAGTTGTGGTCAAGCAAGTTAAGGAAAGCACGCAACATGAATTCAAAGGCCTATCACATTTGTGCCACTCTCATGTTGAAGCTGTCTGGAATAAGATCCTGCTGCTTATGTCCTTGCAGCCTACAAGAACCTGAAAACTGTTGGAAAAAGATAGATCATGAGGAGGGAGTCAAAACTTGAAAGCAAAGAGATCGATGGTACACAAGCGCGTGCTGCCGGAGCTGAGAGCACCTACACCTTGCCTTGGGATCCGCATTTTCAAACTGCTGCTCAACCTAAATCCAATCACTTAACCCTCAGGTTTTAAGTTACTGATGGCCTTGAGTTTACGACTTAGGCCTAGGCTGCAGCCTCAAACAAGAGTCAAGGTACCAGGTCTAGGCCGCTCTCACCAACATCCCGGAGCATGCCTGGCAGCAGAGTCCCAAAACGGCATCCGTCGGGAGAGGAAGGTTGGGGCTGCACCTTCATCCCACAGAGTACTATAGGGCCCTACATATTCAGGATGAGGTTTTGTTCCACATTCCTCTATGACGTTAAAAGGGTTATGTATAGTTGGACAACTCTGCTAATAATGTGGGCTAGTACAGTACCAGAAACGATAGCCTAGATGACCCGACCATTCTCTGTGCAAAGTAACTTGGGCATCTGGCAGGTCTAGCTTTAGTCTAGGCTTTTTCAAGCAGGAACCATGTGGACTTGGAGCAAGCTCAGGGTTTTTCTGCAGGCATAGTGCGTACTTCCAGCCGCTTAGCAGTAATTTTGCTGGAGGATGTCGAGGCTCTCGGACTTGTTGGTGACATAGATTGACATTGAGCGCCTGACGCTTCTTGAGGCTAGCTGTCAGCGAGACTTCTGCTGTCCCTGTCACCACACCAACCTCCAATTACTCCAACAAGGGACTTTCGCAAAATTGTGAATCCTTTTCTAGGAATTCTTTCTCGCGAGGATGAGAACTCCGCAATCTCAAACTCCTGCCGGGCATGCTTCCCATGGCAATGGACATGCAGGCGGCCGGCTGTATGGCAAGCGTCGAAGCCTGGGCCATTTCGCACATGATTCTGAAATTGTTGCTGACCCTTTTACTCACTGCTGGTTGAAACGCTTGAGGTTTTGAGCCTTGGGTTTCGGAATTATGGCCTAGATTGTTGGGTGCTGGGTCCAAGCTGTAATCCTCTCATCCCATTTTGTGAAACTCTGAGATCTTTCTCCTTAGTATGAGGTAAAACTGCAAAGGAAGCATGCTGCATACTATGTGTAGCGGGCACAGGTGCAGAGATCGAAGGCCACATTTTATTGTGCCAACGGCGCAAGCAGGAGACAGAATCTTGTCTGACGAGGCACTGTGCATCTCGGATCCTACTTGCAAACTGTTGAGGGCACGCCGGCGGTCAGGTTTCTCTGTACAAGCCTGGTTGCTGGACACGGACACGCTGATGGAATTCAATCAAAAACGACGAGCAGCTTTTGGCTGCAGACCGAAGTAAACATGCAGCTTTTGCCTTCAGAAGCTGTTGGGGTGGTACCCCTACCTCGGGGGTTCCCACCATCCCTGTTTCATCACTTCTTAATCATTCTGCTGGGGCTAGTGCGCCTCTCACACCTCCCCAGTAGAGCGCTTCATTCGAATTAGCCGGCTTCTTCAGCCAAAGGCTTGATCAGGACAGGTGTGTGGGTCTGGTAGTTGCAGATGTTGCCCACCAGGTTGTACCTGCACGAAAACTGGAGGAATTGTTGGAAGAACGGTGCATTGTAGCAACAATCCTGGCATAATCATCACAGCCAAAGGAACCAGAGCCGAGATGAAAAGGAGAAGAAAACTAAGCTCATGTGCAACTTTGTTTCTGTTTTTTGTTCGAATCGCTCTGACCTTCAGAAAACAAACCGGCAAAACCATTTCTGGACGTTGCGAAGTAAGAGGATTTCGCTCGCGAGTGTTCCCCATAAAGCCATGTATCAAAGACCTCGCTTTTTTGGAAGACACCATGATAAATCCCCGCTTAAAGAAATGTCGGCTTGGCAGTTTCTGATACACTGAGCCCAAGACCTACACCTAAAGTGTATGGCGTGCCTGCAACAGTACGGCCTCAAAGGTCTCCCTTTCTTTGCAAAAAAAATCCCTTGGAGAGAGGCCCTATTTTTTTACAATCCCAGGTTGCATGTCGTTCTCGATTTTCCATTCCATTTCAGTACCCATTACTGGCATATAGCCTTAAAGCCTGTAGAAACTCCACATAATCCCTCTAACCCTACATACACCTATTCAACCCGTATATCATCCCTATCTGACCCTTGTCATTCCTATATCACCCCGTTTGGTGGTCGTCTTAGCAAGGCATGGCGCAAGGAGACGGCATCCTCGCGACTTGGCTGCGTGTTGCCATGCTCCGTCATAGCGCGGGATGCCACCTGTGACTTCGCGGCTTGTGTTTTTTATGTTTTATGTGTGTGTTTTCTCGGACCTTCTTCCACCAGCCAAAGGTGATGAAATGCGGTTTAGGGTTTAGGGTGCAGGGTACAGGGAGGCAGTAGGGAATGATAAGATCCAGGGGCTATGGTAGGAGATGATATTCTACTATAGACTATAGGGATCCATTCCCCCATTCCGGACCTAGCCAGACGCAAGCATCAGAGAAATTCTTGATTCCGGCCTTGGGGCTCTGGGGTCCAAGAAAAACCGATCTTGCTTTGTCTAGATTGTTGGGGGTTGAATGATGGGCTGACTCGGATCCCTATCTGACTGTCATAAGAGCTACAGTCAATATTACCCAGAAAATTGATGGACATGGGTTGCTTATTAAGAACTATATTAGGGGCTACACGAAACTACAAGGGGGACCTCACGTCCACTGTTAAGGGTCCCTTAATAAGGCTAATACTGACAATAGCTCACATGTCAAGCTGCTTTGTTCTAAATTCTGCAGGATGAACACACCCCCTTCTTTGTAGAGTTGCATTCGTTGCTAGAGGATGCGACAGTTAGCATGTTATTTTGGGCAAAGACCTTCCCTAGAAACAATCACAGACCTTCCACAGACAAAGCAAGGCATTCACGTCGATGCACATTTCAATCCTCACAGCCTCCACCAGAAGCCATGCAACCTTCCCAAGTTCTGGAACCTAGGTTTCCGAAGGAAATGCGACCATGAGAGCGGAATACTAGCATGCTAGTTCCTGTATTACCTGCTGTTACGCACTATCACCACTACCTTTCTTACGGCTTAGTGGTGATTCAATCAATCTACGACCCAATGCCTGCAGTGTCAGGGGCTTCCCCCGAGCCAGCTGCGCTTTCATGTCGTCCGTCAGCGGCACTTTCCTCGGATTGTGGAATGCTACGCGCGCAGAGTTCTCTTTCTGCGGAGTACGAACCTTTAAAATCATTACTAAGGAATGAGCACACTTCTGGGCTTCGCAGTGCCCCTGTTACTGAAGACTGGACGAATGGAAGACTAAGTGAGCGTGTGCTGCAGTCATATGGTCACCTGCCTCCCCTAGACTTCTGGCTCAAGCACTGTCACAGAAAGCTAGAATTAAGCTCCTCCGAGAGTCTTGGACCACCAGTACCTCGCCAGGGCAGCTCTTGAGATTATCTTTCATATTTTCATCCCCGTGTAAACAGACCCCGCAGTGCCCCCTGAGAGTAAGGCCATGAAAAATCGATACGCACTTCAAGTCATGGAGAGATCTGGCAGCTGCTGGTGTGATTCGCAACAAAACTCTGATCTGCAACAAAGCTTCAGCAGCGTGTCTGCCTCCAATCCCTTCGGATATGTTTGCTGAAGCTCTTCTAGATTACCGGTGCGCAGCACCATCCTTCAAGCTAGGCATAGTAACTCTGACGAATTATTGCGGTGATTGAAGGATGGTATGAGAAGCAAACACCACCCTACAGTAACCCGAACTTGGAACCTTTCTGCGACTCTTGTAACAGCAGCCCCAGGAGCCAGGACCAATGATAGTTCCTTCGGTGGACCTTCTCCATGCCGTGATCGTCCAAATCAGCGGGGATGTAAGTCTTGCCTTGACAAAACTCAAATCATCATTAGGTTCGGGAGCAACTACAAGGACCACAGCAAAAATGCCCTTGTACACCCATGTTCTCGCAAGAGACAACAGCTACATTGAACGTCCCTCCTACGGGCTGCAAGCTGTTCTACAACTGCATGGTTACAGGAGACACAAATTGGCATGTGACCCGGTCTGCTGGAGATGCGTCTCGGGAAAAAGAACTGTCAAAGCTCGTGGGCCCTTGCTTTAAAGCAGGATGTTCCCTATTGGCAGTTGATGACAATGTATTCACAGGTCCACTCGGCGATTAAACGTCGCACCCATTCCCTAGAAGCTGCAAAATGCAGTTTCGGAGTGTGGAAATTTCTGACTTGTTGGTGAAATCAGCTTGTGATGACGCTGCACCTCCGTCGATGGAGACATCCACGCGGGCAATCCGATGACCGCCACCACCCAAAGCGATACCTCGGACCTGCCGAGGCTCATGGCTTACTGGGGTATAAAGGCTTTAGACATAGGGTGTTTGTGGTTCCGTTGGGTACATATCTAGAAACAGCTTTGCGAAGGCCACAGCTTTCTTAGCCTTCGCGCATTCCTAGCCATGATGGGGCCTCTGCTTCCGGAATGCAGCAACGTTTCAAGTTTTGAGCTTCTGTTCGCTGTTTGATCAAAAACATAATATCTATGAAGCCACTTCGCCCTCATGAAGCCTGTTTAGGCGGCTTTAGGTCCCGGCAACTTCCCTGGCCATGAAGCTGCGAATCGAGTGTCATAGGATTTTTCTCTGTGCAGCGGCGCAAACCAAAACAGCAAACGGGTAGCGCGCAACCCAAAGACACCGCATCCAGCACTAAAATGAGAAACCATTTAGCTATGCTTCTTGCACCAGATCCCTTTAGAATACAAGGGTTCTACAGGAGGGTGTACGAAGACGATACACAAGGCCTTTGGTCCCCAAGAGGGTTGAGAGGCCGTGTCTTGGGGCGCTCAGCATTTAGGAATACTGAGTTTGAGGGTTCTGCCATAGCTGCTTGAAAGGCATGGGGCCCCTGTGTCTGCAACCTCTATTGCAAGGCACGAAAGCTCGAAATGATTGTATGCAAGATCGAAGCCTGCAAACTATCTCATGAATCCCTTTCAACGCTCGATAGACGATTTCTAGACCCAGTCCCTTTGATAGGATGTTGCTCTAACTTGGGTCCCAAGGTGAGGAAATCCACCATCAGACCATAAAATGGGAACCAGCATGCAGGAAGTAGCTCTATACTGGGATAATGGAAAAATCGAAAGTACAGGGATTATAGGGAGTATATAGGGATAATGGAAAAGAAAATGGAAACTACAGGGACTACAGGGATTATATAGGGGTGATATAGGGATAATTGAAAAGAAAATGGAAACTACTATTTAGAAGTTCCCGCCCCTTTTCACCCTCTGGTTGCT